GGATACAGTGTCCCCTAAAACAAATCAGTTTTCTAATGGTCAATAAATAACTAATAATCAACTAAAAAATTAGCTGACTTTACCTCCTCCAATGATAATAAATGATCTTTTATCAACAGCAGGATTGGGCTGACATAATGGAGCTTTTACTCTTTTATGTGATTTGAATTGCTATAAAAACAAAAAGCAAAAAAAAACACATTAAGGTACAGCTATTTTAAAAACTAATTTGTTTTTAATCAAAATTCCATAGAAAAAGAAAGTTAATTTATTTTAATACTTGCAAAAGGAAGCTATAGCACCAACTTTAATCATGATTATACACCCTTTTAATAAGTCCCGAGGTATTGAGTTCTCCGCACTTGACGTCAAATTTATTCTTTTGAAATTTTTACAATACAAAAGGAATTCAAAAGAATAAATTTGACGTCAAGTGCGGAGAACACAATACCTCGGGACTTATTAAAAGGGTGTATATTAGCAAATAAATAAATTTTAGTGAGTGTATTTATTAATTCTAAAAGGAATACATGCATGTACGTATGTAACAAAGTGAACTATTTTGTAATAAATTATAATTATAAATAAATTCAGACACTGAGGACATTTTGATCATAAKTGAAGTAATAACTAGTTTCAATTAATATATAATATATATTTTGTGTCTTTTTTTCATTATATTCATAGTGAATTCTGTTAGTCATTATTATATATAGACAATCAACCACCTTTTCATGTATATTTGCATATTTTCAACCAGACATTGTGTTTATTCATATTCAAAAATTCATAATTTTGTTTCCTTAAATTCAGAACAGTCATAAAACATTTTCTGGTTTATTCTAGGCCATGTATTAATGTTTGAAACCTGGTTTCTTTGTGATTCTTGTTTGTTTGTTTGCTTATTTGCTTTGTCAAAATTATAATAAAGTATTGTCATTTGATTGAGGTGTTGTCTAAAATAAATTGCTAATTCATTGAAATATCAAATATTGTTTTTTACCTCAGTATTTGCACGAACAATCACATTTTTCCCTGATATGGTCACCTGTTAAGACATAAGTGATAACAATAATGAGCCTTTTTTTCCCTTCAATCTATAATAAATACATTTTGCAGTTAATCCTCAAAACCCACCTTTCTTTCACGACAATATAATGTTTGGATGTAGCATTCAAATTCAAATTTAAAATTGCATATTACCTCAAATTTTGGGATGCTGTCTAAACCAGGAAAATCTTCAATATCACCAGTCTTGACATTAAARCAAGCACCATGCCAGGGACATCGCACACGGCCATTCAGTAAGGCCCCAGATGCTAASGGTGCACCATAATGAGTGCATTTATGGCCCACAGCATAGTATTGTCCTTGTTCTCTGACCAGCAAAGCCTTTCCTTCTCCAATGTCTACAGTTTTCATTCTGGATAACAGAAACATTCCAAGCAATATTCAATTGATGCTCAAATCATTGTATTACTGACAATAACTTGGTTAAATTCATTGAATTTTGTTTTTATTTAATAAAATATGAAAATAATTTATCAATCATTCATAGAATTATTTTCGCATTATTTCAAAGAAACTCACTCTCCATCTTTTAAGTCATCAAACTGTGCAACTACTGCCTCTACTGTTGAAGCCATATTTTCAGATGTAACTTTAAAAAAAAACATTAAGTTAATACAATCACTTATCATTTTATATTAAAAAATATATAAAACGGCGCACGTCTCTGTACTCTGATATAAACATGGTGGGAGTTGAAAAACACAAGCGCGAGCACGTGTTATATATCAAAAATTTTATAATGTCCATTACTGTGAATGAATGCTACAACTTAAGACTCATTTTACACGGTAGAATTGTATGGTGTAAATGGCTCTTCATATCCACATGTGTGGCATACTGTTACAACTTGTCTCAAGATTTTGAAGTCAAGGGTCAAAACTGCAGGAAATTTTTAGGGATGACACATCAGTATGCCATATCATAAGAGAATTATAAGGAAAACTATTGATTTGCAAAGATATGCAATATACCTGGATTATGATATGCAGGCCAATAGCTATAGCTATAGCTAAGGTTGATAGGTTAGCTACACCATAGAACTACATAGAACTACATATTATATATAGGTTAGCTACACCATAGAACTAAGTATTACAGGGAAATCCCTGACATTATTGGCATTAGCACACACTTTTTCTATTCATACTCGATTGCAAATTATATTTTTTTTTTATTTATTTTTTTTATTTGAAAAGAATGCAAATTGATTATAAGAAATAAGACAAAATTCTAGAAATAACCAATTAATTCAGATATAATTCCACTAGTAATGAAAAAAAATTAGGGACCAAAAAAAGACACAATCAGACTCTGTGGTCGTTTTCATTTCTGGAAATGAGAAATTGTACAAGCTTTGATGTTTTTAAAATGATTGCTTTGAAGTGCCGTCAGTCCAARTGTCTTAAATTAGAAAGACGTTTGCGGCTTATTATAAAAGAGTACGATTAATGTTATATAAACTCAAAATACATTCATTATTCACGTGTAATGAAAAAAAACTTCGCTTGTCGCACAGTAAAGCAGCTATAAGCAGCAAGATAAGCTATAATGCGAATCAATAACATTCATGCTTCACTTGTCCAACAAATCGTACTGTCAACAAACGCCGAAAGACAAAACCTACGCTTTTTACGCCCTAAAAACTTAAAAAATATTGATTACCTTCAGATATAGAACTCTGTAAAGTCCCTGTAGTTGAGAAACTAGCGAAAGAAAATTCGTATGGASTTGGACGCTTCACTGAAACGGGGACACCCATCAYGAKAGGCGGCRCTCTTCGACCCTTCAAGAGCTTCCCGACTCTCAACCAGCGAATACGAAGCATATTGATAAGACATAAAAAAACTCGAGACTACATCATCGATAAGTCAATAAACAATGCGCGTCAGATAAAAAGGGTCGTTTAACAGATGTTGATGAGGCAATTTTTTTACCTGAAATTCAGCTGTTCTGCAGATCCTTGGAAAATAATATTCATATCTATTCATATTAGGTATAATACGAAGAGCCTGGTAACGAATTTTTAGACAGGTAGCCCGGATTTTAAAAGAAGGCTTTTCCRAATATTGTTTTGTTAGCTATATGCAGTCAATTCAAGAAATTCTGGTCGCTGACTTATAAAAATATATCGATATCTAAACATAACTCTAAATTATTTGAATGAATTGCAAAGGAGAGCAAAAATCAAACATTACCTATGATGCAACCAAGTGCCCATTACTGWATTTCACAGGAATATGGCGATAACATTATGTGCTGCCCTCCCTCAYTCTATTAACGGTAAAAATATCCCCAAAAAACTTTGTTAGTTTACRTTAATAATATAATAATCTAAAATATTTATACAGCACTTAACRCATTGCTAAGAGCTTGTTATATAAAATGACTATCTAAACAAATTGCAATTTATTGAACATACCTTTATTACACATTGAASAAAATATGAATAGTAACAATGAAAACACTATTACATTCCTTTATCGAGAGTTTTAAAACAACAATATATCAATTATGAAACAAATATTACACAAAATATGTGCAATAAATCAATGTTCATCCTCATCGGCATAGCCTTCTGGTAGAGCATTGGCATGATCATTATGAAATAAGGAACGGTTTCCATCTTTCCATGGAAAAGCCTGAAATATCATGACAAACAATAAAAGGATCATTAACAATCATCAAATTGGCTTATTCCCCAAATCATTGTCATAAGCAAGTGTTGACACAATAGACTCTGCTACTGCTACAAAGTCTCTTCCYRGATTTAATCTAGCAGTAGGTAGAATTGTAGACTTGAAAAGGCTTTGCTAACATTTCTCCCAGGGAATTGCTGTGACAGATTTTATGCATTTTGCACCATTGCTGTATTGGACACAAACCTTTTTTTAGAAAGTATAACTCTTAAAGGCCCATTTTGCACCATTATGCTTTGCGCACCTCTGTTATTGTTATTATTTACACCAAAATACTTCCAGTATCCAAATATCACCATTTTAGATGGTTGAAAACTCTTTTATTAGCGTTTAAAGTGCTTAGAACAGTGGGATGGTCAAAGATTCGAAACACRCAGTACAATTTATAGATATGTATATATGTCCTTCAGTAGTTGGAGATAATAAATTGAGATGCGAATGCAGCCTACTACTRGAARAGAAGCCAGAAAAAATCTGACTTTGAACGGGATATGAAAGMATTATGGTGCACACTGGGCCTTTAAGGTATGGTATGGTAGTCCAACATGTCTCGCTAACATTGCTGGAAAACAAGTTATTATTATTCACCTTGTTTCTGATTCTAAGATGACTGTAGGGTARAAATTCTGGYCTTGCRTGCTCATGATGCTCTTTCTCTTTAGTGTATGCATTGTAAGTACACAACATTAGCGCTGGAACAGCCACAAGAGCTGAAATACCTTTCCATGTCTTCATAGTACCTTAATACGAAGAAAACATATTTTATTGTCTTTTTTTATCCTTTGAAAACTACAAGCTTACCATATTATAAGCTTATGTGGTTACTGTACTAAAYAATCAGCTATACAGGTCTTGTTTTGATTGTAAGATTCTAGTTAGTAGATGGTTACTAACAGATTTAAGCTTAAAAATAATCAGTCAATTCCTAAAATAAAGTCATATCAACAGAGATGATAAATTTTGATGTTGAATCTGATAAAAACATGACATGATCATCGTAAGGCTGTCTAAGTTAGCTGTAAATTTCCTCATATTTCTAAGCTTAAAAAACTCCTTGGAAAGCTCTAAAACAAACCTTCAGCATGCTTCTCTTCAGCCATCATTTCTTGCTGCAAAGAACGTCTTGCAGCAGAGGTATTAAAGCCTCTTCTTGWGACTAAACGACTAGCAAAACGAAGCGCCATCTTGAACTTCTTTCTCCGACAACTATTATGGGCTGGATCCGTACCCGAAATCTAAGCTTACACATTATTGGCTGACATGTAGGAAATCCCGGCCAATCACATTATAGRTAATATTCTAAGCAAAATGGCGGAAGACGACACGTAACCAGAGGGAGGTTGTCTGGAATTTTTAAAGTAAATTTCTCTAGCAGAATGGATTATTTCGAGGAGCAAAGAGACGAGATTGATTCCTTAAAAGCGATATTTCCAGATGAATTTGCTGAAATAAGCKTTCACCCTCCATGTTTTATGATTCGTCTAGATGATCTGGATCTTCAGGAATCACCCGGAGTTGTACAAATCAAAATATCATTTCCTAGAAATTATCCTGATAATGAACCATTGATTGAAATTCCTAATCGTTCTGAAACATTACCTAAAGAGATAGTTAATGAACTGAAAAGTCATCTTGATACACTAGCAAAGGAATCGGTTGGAATGGCTATGGTTTTCAGTCTTGTCAATGAAGCCAAAGAATGGATAAGTTCTAACATTGAGAAGATCAAGGCMGCCAAATGCGTGGAGAAACCAGCCGAAGAAGAAGATTCAACAGACGAMGAAGAAGAATCCACTTTTAGTARCACAGTTTATACAGAAAAGAGTGGAGGCCGTTGGGACTATGTAATTGGATTAATTGGTGTGTATAAAATAACAGGATATTACGTATCTATACAGCTGTCAAAGATTGTTGCAGGGGCGGATCCAGGATTTTCTTTAGGGAGGGGTGCAGGGCTCTCAGGAGGGGGTGCAACCCTGACAAAAATCATTACCATGAAGATACAAAATAAGGAAAGTATTGAATGATACAGATCTCAGGAGGGGGTGTGCACCCCCTGCACCCACCAGCTGGATCCACCCCTAGTTTAGTTTAGTTTAGTTTAATTGGATTCGTCAAGCAAAACATTTACAAACATTTACGTACATGCTATAAAAAAAAAAAAAGAAAAAAAAAAAATTACATCACAAATGATCTGTTGACAGGTAAAAATAACAGGACGAAAGTCCCAATTGACAATTTTTACCCCCAAAAAATAAAACATAACTTAAATTTTACAAACACTAATTAGATATAAGTTCTAGTTCTTGCTATGAGTCTATGCAGGACGGTACAGAGTTAATTTATTARAGTAAAATAAGTYAATTTCTTTTTTGWATAAAGTTATATTATTAGCCTTTTTAATGWMCGTTGGCAGAGAGTTCCATAGTGTAACGGTTCTGGGAAAATAGGACTGGCGGTAATAGTCTTGAGTGTGGTGAGAAATCGGTCTATAGTTTGTAGAATCAAAGTTGCGTGTATTATATCTAGAAGTTGACTGRATGAGCAGGTTAGAAGAGAAGCTTATGGTATCGCTTCGAATCTTGTAAAGCAGAATGAGGTCATTGATCTCTCGTCTGAATTGTGTTGAATGCTTCACATACTGGCTAATAGTGCATTTAAATAACAAGGAGTGCACTTACTGACTAGGCAATAACCATAGAACCTTACATCACATGAAGTATTGCTACAGTATATACTGACTACCAGTACTATGATTCTATTCTAGGCAAACCATCAGCTGGGAAGTCTACATTCTTTAATGCAGCTACCAAGCAGAACTCAGCAAAGATTGCTGCTCACCCATTTACTACAATTGAGCCAAATATTGGCAAAGGTTTCTACTCCATTCCTTGCCCTTGTTCCTCTCTTCCAAATAAATGTCAGGCAAGGTTTGGACACGATGCAAAGGGCTGGAGATWCATCCCTGTTTTATTGAAAGATGTTGYTGGCCTAGTTCCAGGAGCTTGCGATGGCCGTGGAAAAGGAAACAAATTTCTGAATGACCTTCTTGATGCAGATGTTCTTATTCATGTTATAGATGTCTCTGGTGAGACAGATGAAAATGGTAAAGAGACATCAGGTGAGATGAAGTGATGTGAGAAAGATATTAATTAGAGCATAGACCATAAAAATGATAAGGGCATCGCTATGGTAACCAGGGAGTTGTGTGAAGGAGCAGCACTGATCCAAGACAAGCAAGCAATATGTGTGCACATGTACTTCAGTAACTGCTGACCACCATTGCAATATTCTGACCAGTCTGATCTTGCAATCCATTAGCAAGCCATTGATTGGTGAGAATCAAGCAAGTATACAAGCTGTAGCTGTCAATCTATCAGAAAGCCATCTGTCAGCAACAGGAGAAAGCAGCACACTGTATCTAGCAGTCCATGATCCACATCAATCAAGCAAGCAAACAAGCACAGGCAGACCAGCAACTTGGTCTTAAATTGCATTTAGCCATTATTAAAAACATAAAGCATTTAAGGTGTTTGTGCCCAGTCTACTGATCTTCTCACATGGTCTTTGGCTAATTAAGCCATTTTTAGTTTTTTTTTTAAGAAAATAAAAAAATATTCGAATTTGAAGTGAATCTGTCATTAAATTTTCTTTCTTTTCTTACTTTCCTATTTTGCTTCCTTTCTTTGCATCTCTTTATTTGTTTACCATTTCTTCAAATATTAAAAAAATACAATAAAAAATACAATAAAAATAAAATACAATATAAAAAATACAAAAATATTTTTTAATATTTTTAAAAGTAGCCATTCTGTTAATACGCTATTTTATAAATTATATTTTCTGACAGGTTATTATCCAACATTGGATGTAGAATGGCTGTACAATGAACTACACCAGTGGATCTTCAACAACGTCATGGCCAAGTGGGACCTTATTTGCAAGAAACCTACAAAACTTATGAACATGTTCACTGGTTATCATGTATCMAAACACCTGATTCAAAGTGTCTTTGTATCTCAGGGAGTCACAGAAAAGAAAATGAAGGCTTTTTTCTCTCTTGGTAAAAACGAATCTGAAACTCTAGTTCATAACATTGTGSGTGAAATCCTCAAGGTCAGATTTCCAATAATGCTTGCTTTGAATAAAATAGACTGCCCTGACTCTGCTAAGAATATTCGGAATTTYCAGCAAAAGTACAAAGATTTTGCAATGGTTCCAATCAGTGCCAAAAGTGAGTGTTTRCTGCAMATGTTGAATAGACAAGGCAATATCATGTACAATGGGGGAGAATCAGAAGTKTCTTTTCAACAACTAAATAATRAAAATCYTATGGACAATATGGTAAAAAATGATGCTCAGTGGATTRAAGACCTTGTCTTGAAGCCCTATGGAGGAACTGGTGTGTTGAGAGCRGTATCAGAGGCAGTTYTACTTAGACCTCCAGATTATGCCTTTCCTGTGCGATGTTTAGAAACACTTGAAGCCACAACCGGCACTACCACTAAAAATGTGACCACACTTCAAGATTGTGTTGTTTTGAAGAAGAACACGACAGTTGGAAAGCTCTTTGCTGTGCTTTGTCATCCTCCATTGGCATTGTTTGCAGGAGAGTTTGTACGAGCAGAGTGTTTGGATAAAACAGGCAAGAAAAGAGTGATGCACAAAGATGAAACTATCAGCGAAGAAAATCAAATTGTCAAAATCATGAGCACAAAGAAAGGGACATTTTCGTATAAATTGAAATGAAATAGAATTACAAACATAAAATAAATAGAATCATTTGAAGTCTTTTGTTGTTTGATTTATTTGTTGTCATAGCCAAAACTGCAAACATGCAATCTCCTTTAACATAGGAAATTTTAAATGCCTCATTTTGAAGGTTCATTACAAACCAAATTGACAAAGAATCACATTATTATTAGGGGGCTTTCATTTATTAGCTCATGGAGTTGGCAGAATTGATGGGGGTTGTTGATGATTTTGGAAATCATTGTTATGTACTTGTTATGTAGAGGGTATTATAATCTCAGTCTTATAATAGGGCGGGTGGAGGTTTGAATATGTTTATACTTTTCATGTCATAATCTCAGTGTTATAATAGGGGGGTTATGATTTGATTTATAACATACTAGGGGTGGTTATATAATGTTTGCAGACATATGTATAAAATTCTGCCCGACCCCCCATGAGCTAATAAATGAAAGCCCCCTAAATATTTACAATGTAATTACAATGTGTCCTTCTCATGTGTGTCGGTATAGTGTAAACTTTAATTGTAAGAACACCTTAAGAACAAGCTCAGGTTGATTTGTCATTAAACAACCATTAAGAATTAAAAAAAAATGGATGTTCTTATGTGCAGGGTCTAACATTTTTTTCAGATTTGCAATTGAGTTGTGATAATCAATAGTACCTTGCAAAGAAATGCTGYTTTGCAGATATGAAAATATCTGGATATGTGTGTGGCTTCATGTAACTTATTGGCATCTTAACAGAATGAATGCATTATAAGTAAAGATCTTACTGTTATAAGTATATCTTCTTATCAGTATGGATGTTTTCATGGGTTTTACAATCACGACTGCATCTCCTGACTGGATTGTGCAATATAGGATTTCCTCTTGTCTGAATACCTCACTGTGATACTTGGTTTTTGCATGGCTTCTCACCAGAATGGATGCAMTCGTGTTTCTTACAATTACCTTTTTGTTTGAATGCCTTATTGCAATACTTGCATTTGAATGGCTTCTCACCAGAATGGTTGCGCTCATGGGTTCTACAAGAACTGATTTGTGTAAAAGTCTTGCTGCAATRCTTGCATTTGAATGGCTTCTCACCAGAATGGTTGCGCTCATGTGTTCTACAAGAACCAATTTGTGTAAAAGTCTTGCTGCAATGCTTACATTTGAATGGCTTCTCATCAGAATGGATGAGTTCATGGGTTCTACAAGTATGGCGTGCCGCAAATGTCTTACTACAATGCTTGCATTTAAATGGCTTCTCACCAGAATGAAGACGTTCATGGCTTCTACAAGTACTACTTTGTCTAAATGCCTTGCTGCAATGCATACATTTGAATAACTTCTCACCAGTATGGACACGTTCATGATTTCTCCAAGAACTGCAATCTGAAAATGCCTTACCACAATGCTTGCATTTATATGGCTTCTCACCAGAATGGATGCGCTCATGRTTTTTACAATTACTGCTAAATGTGAAGAATTTCCCACAGTACTTGCATTTGTATGGCTTTTCACCAGAATGGATGCGTTCATGCCGTCTACAACCACTTTTTAATCTAAACGCTTTACTACAATGATTGCATTTATATGGTTTCTCACCAGAATGGATTCTCTCATGTTTTCTACAAGCACCTCCTTCTGTGAATGCCTTATTGCAAACCTTGCATTTGTATGGTTTTTCACCAGAATGGATACGTTCGTGGTTTATACAACTAGTGCGGCTCACAAATGCCTTACTGCAATGCTTGCATTCAAATGGCTTCTCACCAGAATGATTGCGTTCGTGCACTTGCCAACTGCTCCTATGTAAAAATTTCTTATTGCAATGCTTGCATTCAAATGGCTTCTCACCAGAATGGATACGCTGATGGCTTCTAAAAGCACTGTTATGTATAAATGCCTTACTGCAATGCTTGCATTTGTATAGCTTTTCACCAGAATGGATGCGCTCATGGCTTCTACAATAACTGCTATCTTTAAATCTCTTGCTGCTATGCTTGCATTTGTAAGGCTTCTCAGAAGAATGGATGCGTTCATGGCTTCTAAGACTACTGCTTGTCATAAATGCCTTGCTGCAGTGCGTACATTTGTATGGCTTCTCACTGGAATAGATGCACTCATGCCTTCTAAGATGAGTGCTTATCCTAAATGCCTTACTGCAGTCCTTACATTTGTATGGCTTCTCAGCAGAATGTATGAGCTCATGCCTTTTACAGGCACTGCCATCTGCAAATGTCCTACCACAATGCTTACATTTGTACGGTTTCTCGCCAGTATGGATGCGCTCATGAATTTTACAAGAACCGCTACTTGTAAATGTCTTGCTGCAATACTTGCATTTGTATGGCTTCTCAAGAGTATGGATGCGCTCATGCACTGTACAACCACTGCTATGTGCAAATGCTTTGCTGCAATACTTGCATTTATATGGCTTCTCACCAGAATGGATGTGCTCGTGTTTCTTACAATAAGTGGCAAGTGTAAATGTTTTGCTACAATACTTGCATTTATACGGCTTCTCACCAGAATGGATGTCCTCGTGTTTTTTACAATAAGTGGCAAGGGTAAATGTTTTGTTACAATGCTTACATTTGTATGGTTTTTCGCCAGAATGGATGCACTCATGGATTTTACAATTATTATCGCTATTTGAAAGTGTCTTGCTGCAATACTTGCATTTCATTGGCCTTCTTTTTCTGCTGGTGCCAGCTAGTTCATGTGCAATTGCTTTATTTAGGCTCTGATCACATTTGTTCATGTTAATCCTGTTATGCTCATCGACATCAATACCGGTAATCTCATCACTTTCTACATCAGAATCATCTGGGATTCTCTGAATATCACTTGTTGCTCTTCCCTGTGATCTTAACCGATGGTTGACTGGTCGTGTATTGGACACATTCCCAGTACTTGCATGGCATAATTTTGTTCCCTGAATTTCTTCTTCCATATTTTCAATCATCATTTCTGAATTCTCAACACTGTCGCTATCACTGCCTTCATCAAGAACAGCTTCTCTAAGACTGACATCTTTGTGTTGCGATCTGAGATTATATCTTTTGTTTACAAAATCAACACCGTGAACTACTTCATCTGGATGATCTTGCTGCATTGTGTTGTTACTCTCTTCAAGATCTACTTGGTCTTCGCAAGGATTTGAACTTTCTATGTCAGTCTGTGAAGGAATGTCACTTGTCACAATGTTTTGTTCCATTGGTTCTTGTTGGTATTGAAATGCTTGCTCCATATTAATTGCGATRTTGTGATTTGAACTGCATGTGCGAAATTGCTCACTTGATTCCTGTTGTTGTAGGTCGATGGCATCAATAGAGGTGCATCCATATTTGCAGCCAGTATCATCTGTTTGTGTCATTACGCTGTTACTCTGGTTCACAATATCTGAATTAGTCACGAGGCCCCATTTCTAAAGAAAAATCAAGTCAAAGTTACGACTGATTGTCATCAACAAAAAGTATTTTCCTGACATTTCAAAAAGATAAACATTAGCTCAAAAAGGACAACTTTTGGGTTGTTGCCCAATTCTGCCTCCATTTGCTACAAAACCACAGGCTAATGTTGAGCAACTTGTTTTCTAATGATGAATAAGGGCTATTGGTTTGTATGCTTATATATGAAATTAAAAAACATATTTTTGATATTTCACAAAATATTTGGCAGTGACTGATACCTTGTACCCTTGTTCACACAAGATCAATGCAGAACATCATCTCTACAAATGTATTCTTTTTAATTCTTTCTCTTTATATCCTACAACTTGGAGTGCCTAACATGGTTATCCTACCTTAGATACAGGAYTCCACTCTGGATATCTATGCTCAGTGGTGATTTTGTTGTAATAAAAAAGGATTTCTCCAGCTTTGCATCGATACTCTATCCAGTCTTGAAATTGACATGCTTGATCCTCAAGACCAACTGAATCTTCACAATCAGAACTGCATGTGTAAGGTTGCAAGGTTGTTTCTGGTTGTTGTTCTTGTTGAATGTCTACATACATGAAGGTGCATCCATTTTTACAGCCTATGTCATCAGTTTGGGTCATTATGCTGTTAGCTTTGTTCACAGCAAAGCAATCAATGGCTTGTCCTAAGCCCCATTTCTATATAAAAATTAAAGAATTTTAAAATATGATAACATTTTTATTGATAATGATAATAATATTTTTTCTTGTACATAATTTTTAACAATTGAAAGTTTTCCAAATTTTGGCAGGGYTAGGGATCTATTTTCCTAGAATCTGTCTATGTACTGCCATGAATTTATAGTTGATTTACCTTAGATTCAGGATTCCACTCTGGATACCTATGCTCTGAGGTAATTTTACTATAATAAAAGAGGATTTCTCCGGCTTTGCATCGATACTCTAACCAGTCTTGAACTTGAAGGTTTTCCATAACTTTTCCTGCACATTCATGTAACTAAAAATGTTTAAATGCTTAAAAGCTTACTCCTGGGGGTACTCCCCTATATTTGCTATACGGGGACGTGCCGCCAACCAGGGTGTCGTTTTCAGTGATTTTACTCTGGAACAGGCTATTGTTTTTAGCGATTTTACTCTGGAACAGGGTATCGATTTCACCGATTTTTCTCTGGAACAGGGTCAGCGTTTAATTCTGGAATTATTGATGCTGGGTAAAAATTCACGGGGTAAAAATTCGGTCTACGCGCAAGCTAGTGCTGTATTTTACTGTGGAACAGGGTATCGTTTTCAACAATTTTACTCTGGAACAGGGTATAGTTTTCAGCGATTTCACTCTGGAACAGGGTCAGGGTTTTGACGTCCCAGCGGCACACCCCCACCCAAGTTTGGAGGGAGCTTACTGAATCACAATATAAACATATGAATTTATTCCAAGCCATGTAACTTATTTCACAAAAAAAACTTTCCTTTCTAGAGAGTTTTAGGATGGCATACTTGGGGTGGCGAAAACAACAACTACGTGAAAGCCTAACTAAAATATGATCACATGCCTGCAGGTATTAAACTGACAACCCGTTCAACCGTTCAATTCAACCTCTGGAATGTGCGATATTGCACTTCACATTTTCACTCCTTACGTGTACGTGTTTGCTTACAGACGATGAATGCAATTTCAGTTTGGGCAATTTGTATTTAAGGTTCCTTATTCTGCAACAACCTACTATATGACCACGATTCGTGGTCTAGCATACAACATTGAGGTCTTCAAAAAACTCTAGTCACGCACTAAACTCAGCCGGTCACGTACAATTAATTATTTGTTTATAGCTGCCAGTTTGATTGTACTAGTATGTGACACTTACCTGCAATAGATTTTTTCCCTAAGTCAAACACACCACGCACACATCAATTTAGCTTTGCTTCGCTGTGCTTGTTGCAGTTGTTGTGTTCAGTTTTGCTTGCGCGCGAAACGTTTATGGTTCAGCCTCGTTGTCAGGCAATTCCCGCCTGGCCTTAACCAGGAAATCTGGATTTTCGTTGCTCCTCAAATTTTAAGTCTATAAATGATTTTGATGATGCTACACTTTCTCTTTAAAAAACACTTAAAACATATTGATATCTAAAAACGCAAAAGAAACTGAAAATGCTAACATTTGTTTTTTTGGGTTTCCTGTGGAATCACATGTGCACAGAAAACAAGATGGCTTCCACGAGGTTTTTGGGTTTGAATTTTGTTTGAACTATCCTAGCGTATTATGTCTCGACTGATTGTTAAAAATCTTCCGAAGGATCTCAAAGAAGATCGTCTTCGTTCTCTCTTCGCTTCCAAAGGCGAAATTACCGATCTTCGACTGTGTAAAACAAAAGATGGAAAGTTTCGTAGGTTTGCATTTGTTGGTTTCAAAACCAAGGAAGAAGCAGATAGTGCCCTTAAATTCTTCAATAACTCTTATATTGATACTGCTAAAATTCAAATTGAAATTGCGAGGAATTTAGGTGAAAAGTCGTCATCTCGACCGTGGAGTAAATACTCTGAAGGAAGTTCTGCCTACCAAAGAAACAATCTTCAAAAAAACGAACATTCAGAAAAATTATCAGAATTAGGCGACAAAACTAGTTTGAAAAAGAAGAAGAAAAAGTCTTCAGAAAATGACAATGATGAACTTGAGAAAGATCCAGAATTCCAGGAGTTTTTGTTGGCCCACAAAAGCCGCAGTTCTAAGTCGTTGAGCGGCAATGAAAGTGTAAACTTGTCTCAGAACACCAAAAATCAAGCTGATGTTAAAAGTGAGAAAATCAAAGAAAAGCAAGAAAATCCATCAGATGATTCTTCTGATGAAGAGCAGAGTGATAGTGAACCGTCATCAGGTAAACTACATATGGAACCCTAGATGTTTTTGTTGGATTCCAAAAATCAAACAACAACAACAAAAACACCTTCCATCTCTACCGGACTGCAGAAAATTTGCACAAGTGAGCTTWCAGCATGGCACTTTTTATCAATTTGCAATCAAGTCGCACAGCACTTGCCACAATAACCGCAGGGCTATTTTACATGTACAATTTGAGTTGCGCAATAGCAAAGTGGCAATTGTTGAGCAACAATTGCTCTGCARAATTTGCAAGCTATAACAGGCCTTTAGTAGTATTCAGGGGCGGATCCAGAATRTTTAGAAAGAGGAGGCYGATTACTTAAAAATGGTTTTGCGTTACGTCGAACACCATAGGCRGGAATATATGTGGTCCAGGGGCATGCTCCCCCAAAAAATTTTGAAATTTAAACCGTCAAAAATGTGATTTCCAGCATTTCCATTGATATTGACAAGGATCTTGTCAAGTTTTTTTCAAGAAAAGGGGGGGGGTGCAGCCCCTTCGGACCACCCCTAAATCCGCCGCTAGTATTAATGAAATGTATTGCTTTGATGAATTATRCTCCAAGACAATTTTATGATAATGAACACTACTTACCATGTTTGGGATTTTGCTCTTTCTCTGTTATATAGTGTGTAATTTATCTATTGGCTTATCTTTTGTTATCTAGATGAAAGTGACAGCGAGCATGAAGACCAAAATAAATCATCCAAAAATGTTTCCAGTATATCAGACATGGATTATCTTAAGTCAAAGATAGCTTCTAATGATGATTCAAGTTTAAGTAATGATAAACCAGTCCAGGAAGAGGATAATAATAATGATAATGAGAACTCCAATGATGAGACATGTCAAMATGAACCTATTCAACARCCAAAACCTCAAAAAACAAGTCAAACAGCTTGGACTCTCAAAATGAGAGGTTTACCATTCAAGGTGAAAGATAAACATATCAAAGAATTCTTTCGTCCTGTAAAATGCAGTGACATTCGGMTGGTAAAAAACAAGAAAGGACAGCCATCAGGAAGAGCATTTGTGGACTTTGAATGTGAAGAMGATTTAGAAAAAGCCTTAAAAAGGGATAAGGATTATTTAGAAGGGAGGTATATAGAATTATTCAGAGATGAAAGTAAGAATATGGAACCAAAACAAGRCGAGCCRAAAGAAGAAAAACCCTGGATGAAAAAGTTGAGGGAAAATAAAAACAATGATGAAGAAGAAGATGAAAGTATTGGAGAGGTGCGCCTTTACAAGCTTTTACCAAAATTGGTGATTTTCCATATTTTCTATGTAACTGTATTCTGATAATGTTTTTTTCATGCCTTTCAGTCAGGAAGACTTTTCCTTCGCAACTTGTCATATAGTTGCAMAGARGATGATATTCAAAAACTCTTTGAAGTACATGGTCCGCTTTCAGAAGTAAATCTTCCTCTTGATAAACTCACCAACAAAACTATTGGACTTGGATATGTTACATTCTTGATGCCAGAACATGCTGTCAAAGCATTCAATCAACTAGATGGTTCCGTATTCCAAGGTAGACTACTACACATTTTGCCCTCAAAAGCAAAGAAAACTGAGGAGGAGAAGTCAGGTATATTGTTTGTCTTTAGAATTCATGTTTGAATTAAAAAAATGGTTAGCTTTTAGGTATTAAAGCAAAATACTTTGTTGAACAGCTGAATCTTCTTACAAGAAGAAGAATGAAGCAAAGAAGAAGTCTCAAAGCGGCAGTGATCACAACTGGAACACATTATTTCTTGGARTCAATGCTGTAGCAGATGCAATGGCGGATAAATACAACACATCAAAGAGAGGGATATTAGATGCTGAATCATCTAACAGTCTCGCTGTTAGGATGGCACTTGGAGAGACACAAGTTGTTGCAGATACTAGGAAATTTCTTGTAGAGAATGGAGTGAAATTGGATGTTTTTGGACAGGTGAAAAAATAATTATTTTTTTATTTTTTTTGTTCACAGTCTCCAATATTTTCCACAGGGACCCCAATATACCAAACATTTACCAAAAATACGTATTTACCAGGAGATGAAGCTGTTTTTTTTTCAATCACTTTTACCACACTTGCATAAATGTAGAATGACTCAAAAACAGTTTTATTGTCATGCACATCCTCTTGACATTATGATGTTAGAAGAAAACTTGGACTGGAGTGGATTGGACTCGGAAGTCCAGTAAGAACACAAAACTCAAACCTGTGTGCGACTTGATAAATRCTATTTTCTAACTTTCAGGCAACTTCAAAAAGAAGTAAAACTGTTATGATAGCAAAGAATCTTCCTTATGGAACCAGTACTGATGAGTTGAGAACAATCTTTGCACMTTTTGGTCAACTGCARAGAGTGATCCTTCCTCCCACGGGAATAACAGCACTGATTGAATTCCAAGAGCCCAGTTTTGCTAGAAAAGCTTTTCAAAAACTTGCTTATACAAAGGTAATGAAAAAATGAAAAAAATAAATGAAAATAAACTGTGATTAAGTTAAATTTGACTAGGTTGATGTATCTCAATCTGCAATTATGAWTCAAATCCAACCCACAAACATCTTTTTGATTCAAATCATTTGTTGTTCACAATATCATACAAAACTGCTGATAGTGAAATAAAAGTATGGATTRCATTATTGCATTWATTMTATTTYCTATTTTCTTAAGTACAAGAACTCRCTRCTCTATTTGGAATGGGCACCTATAGATGTATTTGTAGAAGAAAGTCCCAAAGATGAACTCGAAGAARAAGTGAAGGTATTTGCTTGTTGACTTACATTAAGTGAACTTGAACTTTTTTGATTGCRAATTTGTRGTTGCTCATCAATGATGAATTCTCCTTTTYTKGCTTAGACTGACAACCACRAAGAAAAGGAAGATGATGCTTCAGGTATAATTATCATAGATATATCCATTTTTAATTAATATGCCAAGTATTTCTCTCAAAAATAAAATTTACCATTTTTTCAGAAGTGGAAAGCGATTCTGAAGAGGAAGATGGCAAGACTTTGTTTATCAAAAACTTGAACTTTGAAACAACAGAAGATGTATTGAAAGAGGTTTGTTTCAAAAAAATAATAATTAATAGCACAAAATAAGTGAATAAACAATATTATAATCAATAATAATACTAAATAAACAAAGAATAATATTAATTGGTAGTTAATAATTTAATAATGTGGATATACAATGAATTTTGTCTCTAGAAATTCTCTAAAGTGGGCACTGTAAAAAGCGTCACAATTGCAAGGAAAAAGGACTCGAAAAACCAAGGTTTGTGAAAGAGTGAAACTTGAAATTTCTATTCAATAATTAAATAACTGTATATCTTCAATGTAAGGGGCTCTTCTTTCTATGGGATATGGATTTGTGGAGTTCAAAAAGAAATCTTCTGCCTTAAAAGCCCTGAAGGAATTACAGGTAGGAGAAATTTCTCAAAATAATGTTTCAAAGCACATTTCGTATTCAATTTAGCTTTTGTTATTGACCTGTAGCACTGCTTGGTTGACGAACACGCTCTTGAGCTYAAAGTTTCTCATCGAAAATCAAATGATAAAATGCCTAAAAAACGAGTTTCTGCCGGAAAACAGAAAAGCTCAAAAATCTTAGTTCGAAATGTCCCTTTTGAAGCAACGACAAAGGAGCTGCGGGAACTCTTTAGGTAAGCATAGAAAGCCTCAACGCACTTTTTTAGTATTAGTTTAAACTTTCTTAATTTCTGACAAAATATTTTTCAGCACGTTTGGTGAGATAAAGACTCTTCGTCTTCCAAAAAAGATGGCGGGAACTGGTCCACACCGTGGCTTCGCTTTTGTCGATTTTTTGACAAAACAAGACGCAAAGGTGATGAAAGATTAACATCTTTCTTAGCTCTAAGTACTGATAATGTCAAATTTATAACTTTATTACACGTATGAAATCTAGAAAACCTGTCATGTAGGGGAATAACTGGCTGCACATGCATTTTCTGAAGAATTTGAAGACTCTGCGCACTTTCGTTCTTTATAATTCCAGATAGTGTTATTAGAATTTTTTCTAAAATATTTAGGATACTACGCGCGCTGTGATTGGTCGAAAACCATGTTTGATTACAGTATCAAAACACGCTCGCGCACGTCAAAATTTTCTTTTTTTCTTTTAATTTTAGAAAAGAAATAAAAGACGAAATTTCGTGTTTGATACTCTGATCAAAACACTTGGGATGTAGGGAGAGCACTCGAAAAGCTGGAAACCACTCCGCTACGCGTCGTGGTTTCCTACGCTTCTCTCGTGCTCTCCCTACATCCCGCGTGTTTTGATCAGAGTATCAAACACGGAATTTCGTCTTTTATTCCTTAAATCAAAGCACTGGAAAAAGTCACAAAATATTACGTTGTACGTTTTTAATGCGTTTCTGTCCATCGCTTATCAAATGTGCGCCTTTGTGACTTCACTGTTAGAAATCCAATTTTTAGCWGCGTATGATATTTAACGAGATGTTACATCGATGTTAAATGTTATCAAAATAACTTAAAAATTGATACTTTGTTTTGCCTTAGCGAGCATTTGAGGCTTTATCAACCAGTACTCATTTGTATGGGCGTCGACTTGTGCTTGAATGGGCAGAGGAAGAAGATGACATTGACACACTACGAAAAAGAACTGCTAAGCATTTTCAAGGTCAGTAATTAACGACATAAATAAATAAATTAATTTAATTGAAATATGAGATTTGGGATGTTTCTAATCGGGAATGCATTTTGCCGGAATCCATTAGAAAAATTCACAATCGCGCTTTCGCCAATGAAATGATGTACGGGTTAAAGCGCGATTGTGAAGCAAAAATGTGGATCAAACTTGTTCAAACCTACAAAGAAACATAGCTACATAAAAAAGAATTCTCCCTGTAAACCTGGTTATAAGGAAATATATGTACCCACTTTTTCCTGAATATATGTTACTTTCTAAGTTTGCCCGGATTACTAACGATTCACTTTATTGTCTAAAGCGCGATTCATACTTATTTGGTGTTATCTTTATACTTGTTTTAGAGACAACGAAGACGAAGAAGAAGAAAGAAATGCTGGATGAACTGATGGACATGACCGATGCTTCGTAAATGATAAATTTTCATGTACATGAAGATCAATTTTTAATATCTTAGAAATGTACACATTCTCGGCTTATGTTATAAAACACAAGAGGACTGTACAAAAAATACTRTTATAATTAAAGTGAAAATTGAAAACGTTCTTAAAATTATCGATATCCTTTATTGTTCTTAAGTTCTTCGAATGTTTTATAAAAATACAGTGCACTCCGTCGAATAACTGAAGTCTGTTTATGATATAAAAGGCGTAAAAAAGAGAATTGGTCGGAGAGTAGTCTGAATTGAGTTATAACAYCTCAGGGATGTTACCTCGCTGATTGCACTAAGCAAGCTGGCAGTGGGACTCTTCCAACTATAGCGCAACTACTGGCATCTGATACATCTTCCTTCCGGAAGGACCTATCGTCTTCTGCCCAGTGCAGTCCGCCAAGCCATATTTCTAGTGAACCCACCCCTTCAATTCTGAAGGTGCCCATCTGGGGCCGTGATTGCCTTTGTCTCAGACCTTCCCAGGGGAGAAGCAGAGATTTTCATCCCTCGGTAGTCACCCCTCAAGCGAGCATTCCAACCAACCCGATWTTACTACTTTTCGTGTGYCTTTTATACAACAATAAATCCGTTCGTGCAGACATGTGGGACTTATATATAACAGTTAGGATAGCTCGCACTTTCAAAAGCTTTTTTTACCAAATGTTTCATAAGTTATTTAACTTTAAGGAGA